GCAAGTTAGGGAAGACTTCTTGGAACAAATGATGTCTAAGTTTAGGCTTGAGTAGGATAAGGAAAAGTTAGCCAGATGAAGCATGAAGAAGAGAAAGCTTGCTTGTTTCAAGGATTACTTGACACTGTGATTAATGCATTTACAAAGCATAGGCCTAGCACACAGTAAGCCCTCATATATGGCAGTTTTTAATATTTAATCATAAGTTATACACCCTGCTCAATAGTACTTTCCCATATAAAACAATACACATGATACAATGTTTCCACAAATAATGGCTGATAGAATTCACAATGTTTAATTGTCTATTATTATTTAACAGGCTCATAAAATACTGATGTTCCTCATTGCAATTCATTTTGTTTGAAGAAAACTACAGAGCATATTGTGGTCTCTATATATAAGGAAATAGAAAATAGACTCAGAATATTAGGACTTAAAGAAACTATAGAAGTCACCTGATCCAGTCGTCCACTTTAACATGGGGGAAAACTAGGCTAGCCATTTGCTCAAAGTAACAATGTTGTTGGTTAGTGGCAGAGAGAAGACAAAAAGGCTGGTATTCTGACCAGCAGTTTAATACTCATTTCCTTTATACTGCGTTGCCAACTTCAGAGTTATTTTCAATGCTCTCAACTTTGATGTAAAATTGTGTTAATATTGTTACCTTGATATTAATTTCCATTATTGCCTTTGAAGTTTTACATGGGCTTCATTTTATGTTTTTCTAGTACTTGATTCATTCTGAAAATATGCATGTTAATTAATTTCCCTTGAACTATTAACTTTTACATCAAGAGCAAAGGATCCATGTAATACTACTAACCATTTCCATTTTAAATCCTTAATTTATTATTGGCAACAGATTAACATATTTTAAACTTCATTTGTTCTCTGTTAAGGTTTCATTCAAAGACTGTACCTTTGGCAGGAATATTAAACAAAGAATTAACTAAAGAACTGGAAAAAGTTCTGTAGTTAATAATCTAAATAATATATTTCCTTATAATGTGCTCTGGACTACCACTGTGGTAATGTTCTTTCCTGGTTGTTATTGTTACACAGTTATGTTCGCATGCTCCCTTTAAAGCTATATAATTACCAAACCTTTTAAAATAAAAACCACTAAAATGTTCTTCTGGGGTATTCTTCCTTTTGCTCATGGTTTGCTCTTCTGTACTTCAGCTTATTGTGCTTATATTGATTCCTCTGCCCACCTGTCAGCTTTCTTGTTCTTGGACTTGAAAATACCATAATCGGTTGTCATTCTCTCCTCATGGAAAATCCTTTGGCTGCCTCTGTGGGGATCCACTGGGTACAGATTTTTTCAATGGCACCCTTTTCCCAGTGGAGTCTTCACTGTATCCATTGTGTATTACAGAAAGCCCCATTACCTTACCTCCTGGATACTAACTGTTGCAGAGCCTGTTCTCATTGTCATGATCTCACAACTCCAGCTACTTAGGAGGATATAATGCTAGCTTCAACAACATTCTCTCCTTCAATTTTCACCTTATTTTGTGGGGGAGAGGGGATATAGGTATAATTACAGATGATATTGTGAGTTATTGATTGCAGGCAAACTTCTAACAGTCCCTGACTATTCTCATGATTCTAATATGAAGTAGAAGCTATTTAGTTTCAAAAGGCTGATGTTGACTTGCTCCAGAGTTTTTGTTCCAGCAATTCATTCATATATGTGCACATAGCTTAACATCTGTAACCCATTGGCTTTTGATTGCTCAACTTGCATTTGTTTTATGATTTATAGTGTATGCCCCATTTTAAAAACTACCATAGTGTTTTCTGGAGAACAGGAAAAACATTGTTTAGACTTGCAAATGACAAGAAGGGTAAACTGGGAGATTAACTGGGGTACCTGAATTTTATTGGTCTGGTTATTCTCTTGCTATACTTACCTTTGGAAACAGATATCTTGTTCAGTTGTAGGTATTTGCTTATATTTGGCTTCATAAATCATACACATTACATGTGCAAAGTCATTCAATGATAATTCACATAAATTAGTCTTAAATCAAAAGTGAGTAAAATAGTTTCAAAACACAAACTTTTTTCTATTGAAACTTATAGGAATAGTCCCAATACTCAGAAAGGCTGAATGTACACTGTTTGTCTTTACATTAGTTCACTGCTTCTCAGGTCTCATTGTCTGAGAACCTTGGGACTCCAGTGTTTTATTATACAAATCTCTTTGGACATACATTATATTTTATGTTTTTTAAATAAAAATTTTAATACAGAAAAATGTAGACATATAAAAGTCTGTTATTATTCAACTTCAGCAATTATCAACTTACTAGGCATATTTTTTTTCATCTATACCCTTACCTACTCTCTCATGCCTATGTAGATACCCAGATATTATATCATTTCATCTGTATTTTAGTATTTATTTCTAAAATTAAAAAGACTCTTTATAAATGGATAACCATACTATGATCACACCTAAAAACTTGAACAGTGTTTCCATAATAGCATCTACTTACTAATCAATATCGAAATATATTTGTTTCATATTTTTTTTACATTTGGTGTATTCAAATCAAAGACTAAAATGGCTGGTTGTTTCTCTTTGATGTTAAGATTACTCAGTGTTTTCAACTGTTGTCAGCCTGATCCATCCATTACTATAACATTTCCTATCAGCTCAGATCAATTTCAGTAGCAAAAGTTTATTGTGAACGAGAACCCATTATTTCATTATGCATTGCAAAAGGGTATATTCTAATGCTATCATTTCCTTTTTATTTATTTGGTTCCATTTAGAAATGTTATTTTGGTAATTTAAATATGTATTACTTGAGCATCTATCATGTGCTAGCACTCTGCAGTATAAGGGGAAAACAAAATACCTATATATCATGGCCTCTGCTGTAAACGGAAATAGAAATACTATGCTCAAAATAATTAGAGAACAGTTATGATATGGTCAGTGAAATAATAAGAGAGATGAATGTGGGTTGGAGAATGTTTAGTGGCAGATATGGGACATGTGCTGGGCCAAGAAGCATTTTATGAAATAGGGGGAAACTGAGGGCATTTCAGGTGGGGGAATAGTTTGGGTCACACCATGAGGCAAAGAATAAAGATGGTGGTATAAAGAAAGGAACAGGGAAAAATCCTACCTAGAGACTACACATTAACAAGGTTAAAATTGTTAACCTTGGCATTAGTTGGAGGTGAGGACAAGTGCAGTAGATAACAGAGAGGCTGAGGTTGAGAAAGGATAGCAATAGATTTAGAAGTATAAGGTAGACACAGGCAGCAGGAAGAAGGGAAGAGAGCAGTATCAAATGGTGGAGAAGCAGGGGAGGACAGTGTTATAGCCAAGGAATGAAAGAGTTTTAAACACGAAGAGGTGGTTGACAGAGTTAAATACCACCGTAAGGTTAAAGAAACGGGGACCAATCCAGGAGGGAGACCCCTGGCAATATTTGACAGGGCACTTGATTTTGATATAGCATATTACAGACAGAGGGTAGATAAAGGAAGGAATGATTTGGAAGTAATAGGTTAGGACAGAAGGCATAGATGATCTTATTCTAGGAATAGGGTTCAAAAGAAGAAATAAATATGGCTAAGATTATCAGTAGTTGGGGAAACCTAAGTGTTTGAAAACCAAAAGTCTGAATTTCCTTTATATTCCTTCTATTTTGATGAATAGAGCAAAATATATTTTTAGAAAACAAACTTTGAATAACGAAAGTGCAAAAAAGAGCATAACTAGTTATTTTAGTTCACCATATTTTAAGATATTTTATTTACTCAATTTTCATTTCATATATTACCACAGTGAATCATGCTTATATCAAATATATGACAATGATATATTAAACTGAGAATGCTAGTTTCTTCCTTTTCCAAAAAGAAGATTTTCTGCATCGGTATCCATCTCCTTTCTCTCTGCTTTGTTAGCTATATGTATACATGGAATGTGTGTTTGCTTTTATTTTGTTAGTTTTATTGGTTTACTGCTCACAAAGATAAGACATGTTTATTATAAACATTTTTTTAAATTCCATGAAATGCTTCTATTCAGAGATAAACAATATTATTATTTTGGTAAATCTCCTTCCAAATCTCTTTCTATGCATAGATAGATAGATGATATTTTATTTTAATGAGATCATACCATGAATGTGGTTTTGCACCTGCTTTTTTACATCTAATAATAGGTTGTAGATATTTTCTGTGTTGATGAATATGGAAATATAGAAACTTTTTCAATGGCAGTCATTGCATGATGATGCCATAATTAATTTAAGCCATTTCTTGTTGCCAGACACTTAAGACTCTCCAGTTTTTCTGTTTAAGCAGCACTGCAATGGACATTCCTATTGGTAATTTGTGCACATGTCCTGTTGATTGTCTTCTTTAAATAACTTCTTCAAAGTGGGATGATGGGTGAAAGACTATGTATATTTCATATTGTGATATATATTTATATATTACCCAGTGTTCTCTAGAAGTGCTGTACTAATTATATTTCTACCAATAATACCTATTAGTATATAGGAAGTTCTTTTAAATGTCTTAATTTTTTTCATCTTCATTTAGGCTCATTTTCTTCACTTATAAAAATCAGGATGAAACATATCAGGGATTCTTAAAAGTTTTAGAATATTAAGCCCATTTGAAAACTGTTGACTAGAAAATAGAAATATTGTTCCAGAAAAACACATCTGCAAAAACACAAAACTTTTACATAATATTTATGAGAATTCACAGATCTTTTGAAATCAAATCACAGACTCTTTAGAATTTCATTCCATGAATCCAAGTGAACAGTCTCTGAATAAGGTGATTTTTACAGTTGCTTTCTACACTTTACACATACATCACACACTCATGTGCATGCAGAATTTTAATGTGTCCTTGGAAAGTCTTTAACATCTGCTTGATACAAAATCTAGTCTCCTTATGATCTGTGAAATCACTTGAGTGTATTTATTTATTGGATGAATTTCTATTTATTTCAGGTTCTTCAGTGGCGAGCCCGCCAGGAAGAGGTAACAAGACTGGAAATGGAAATCTCTGCCAGAAGAAGAGAAAAGGAAGAGGAGAAAGAGAAACTGTGGAAGAAGAAGGAATTGTTACAAAGAGAAGAGAAGAAAAAAGAGGTATTTATACTGTTGCTGCAAATGTGTGAATGAATATTTAATTGCCTGATTGAGATTTGATTGACCTTGGTCTTTGGCATGGAATCCTCATAGGCAGTTCTTAGAAAGTTACATAAGGATCTAGTGGAGTCTTGCTTGAATGTATTTGAGCTTCAGAGATTTATGCACCTGGAGGAAAACCCACTTTATTGACTTCATAAGCACAAGTACTTGTGATTAGAAGAGATACTACAGATAAAGAAAAGACAGAGTTTGTGGTTGTTGTTAAAGCATGTTCTAAGTAGGGGCATGGCAAAGCCAGAGGTACTGGAATAGCATTTTGGTTGACTACAGTACAGCAAAAGACTGTAAAGAGGTGTATTTATTGGAAGATACACTATACTAGGGTCAGTACAATTCATAGAATCCCAAAAGTCCCTTTAAAGAATTTACTTCTTGGTTTATTATGTGTTAGATTGTTTGGTTTTTCATACTGATACAAATTCATCATCCTGTTTTTGAATGAACATTGGTTTCCCAATCCTCAAAATATTGATTAAAACACTTATTTTTAAAAAGGTATTTTTAATTTTTATAATTTTTGGCTGTACCATGTAGCTTGTTGGATCTTAGTTCTTTGACCAGGGATTGAATCCATGTCCTATGGAGAGGAAGTGTGGAATCCTAACCACTGGACCTCCAAAGAATTCCCCAAAATACTAATAGCTTTAAAATAATTATTGACAGCCTGTGGAAGATAAAACATATTTCAGAGGGGATTTTAAAAAATATATAGGGTATATATTTAGATATTTTATTTGCCCATATCACAAAAGTGATAGAATTTACGGTAAAGAATACATTTCTTTAAGATTTTATGACTTGTGTGGAAATAATTCACAAAAGGCAATTTATGACCAATTCTATAACATGAAAAAAGGAATTTCCATTAATCTGTATTGACTTGATCTGGACAATATGTAAAATGTTTTCTTTTGGAATTGCTTAAAGTGCTAAGAATGACTAATTCATAGTCCTTGATGAATAAATGTTTGCTTCATGAACACAGTTGCTATACTTTAAGCTATATGGTCCATTGAAACCATATGAAACTCTTGTCTAGAAGTTTTTCCTTTAAAATTCAACCTGAAGAAAAAAATAACACTGTTTTTTAAAGCTAAAAGTCAGGTTTTCTACATTTTTAGACTTCAGTTATCATTATTCTTGCTTGGTTTGTGCTCTTATGTCAGCAAACTATTGTAGAGTCAATATGTATGAAAAACAACATGTATAGAAATTATATAATTTTTGACAAAATGAGCTACAAAGAAGATGTAATTTACAGTTTAATTTCTAAGTGAGTACATTAAGTGGTTTCATCAAGTCCCCATCAAAAGAGATATTCATAAATATCAACTATGTTTCAAATAATGTAGGGCTTCCCTGGTGTCTCAGATGGTAAAAGAACTTGCCTGCAATGCAGAAGACCTGGGTTCGATTCATGGGTTGGGGAGATGTCCTGGAGTAGGAAATGGCAACACACTCCACTGTTCTTCCCTGGAGAATTCCATGAACAGAGGAGCCTGGTGAGCTACAGTCCATGGGATCTCAGAGAGTCAGACATGACTGAGCAACTAAAAACAAAAACAAACAGATGTGACCTATACACATTTCTGGGGAAAATTTATCAATTCCAACATTTGCTGTTATGAAACTAGAGTATTGGAAAAGCATATACTTAGAGATTTGTCATCGACCTGTGTACCCTTCATAAAACTTCCTTTCTATAGATTAGTATGACCATGAAAGGATGTATTTTGAAACATTTGTTTGCATGTAGTGTCATTTTAAGTGCTATACACAGAGCACATCATGTGAAATGCCAGGCTGGATGAATCACAAGCTGGAATCGAGATTTTGGGGAGGAATATCAACACATATATGCGGATGATACCACTCTAATGGCAGAAAGCCAAGAAAAACTAAAGAGCCTCTTGATGAGGGGGAAAAATGACAGGAAAAAACCTGGCTTAAAACTCAACATTCAAAAAATGAAGATCATGGCATCTGGTCCCATCTCTTCATGGAAAATAGATGTGGAAAAAATGAAAACAGTAACAGACTTTATTCTCTTGGACCCCAAAATCACTGTAGACAGTTACTGCAGCCATGAAATTAAAAAGAGTCTTGCTCCTTGGAAGAAAAGCTATGACAAACCTAGACAGCATATTAAAAAGCAGAGACATCACTTTGCCGACAAAGGTCTGTCTAGTCAAAGCTATGTTTTTTCCAGTAGTCATGCATGAATGTGAGAGTTGGACCATAAAGAAGACTGAGCACTGAAGAACTGATGCTTTTGAACTGTGGTTCTGGAGAAGACTCTTGAGTGTCCCTTGGACAGCAAGGAGATCAAACCAGTCATTCCTAAAAGAAATCAACCCAGAACACTCTTTAGAAGGATTGATGCTGAAGCTGAAGCTCCAATACTTTGGCCACCTGATGTGAAGAGCTGAATCATCGGAATAGATCCTGATGCTGGGAAAGATTAAAGGCAGGATGAGAAGGGGACGACAGAGGATGAGATGGTTGGATGGCATCACTGACTCAATGGACATGAGTTTGACCAAGCTCCGGGAGTTGGTGATGGATAGGGAAGCCAGACATGCTGCAGTCCATTAAGTCGCAAAGAGTCAGACATGACTGAGTGACTGAACTGATCTGGACTGAACTTGGCCTAACACTAAAACAGCAGCAACCACAACAAAGAAAATAGTGATGGAATGAATAATGAGCTCTAAGTCAAATTCATGGTCAACCTCTTGCAAATGTATGTGACCAAGGTATCTATTTTGTTTATTTTCTTTTAAAAATTACTTCTTAACATTTAGAAAAAAATTAAAGTACAGAGCTTGATGAAATCAAAACATTAGTACTCATCACCTAGCATTGAAGCTGTTAACATTTTTCATTCTGTTTCATATTTAATTTTATAGATAAAGTTGAAGTCTTCTTTTGAGGACTTAACTCAGTACCATTTCTCTTCTTACCACCCCAAAGGAGTCTTGACCATGAATGTTATTGCTATCTTTCAGACCATCTATTACTTTTAATATATTTTAATTCTTTTACTTTTTTCATAAGTATTTCCACACTGTGTCATTTTGCAGCATGTTCTTTTTCATTTAACCATGCATTTTGAGATATTGCCATGTTAATAGAGCTAGCTTATTCTTTTAACGGCTATATTATGTTTCACTGTAGAACTAGGTTACCATTTATCCATTCTTTGAGTGGTTGACATGGAAGTTTCTTAAGTTTTGTTCTTAAAAGTGTACTGCAGCAGCCACCTTGTGTATAATGACCGGGGCAGGTATGCATAGCTTTCTCTAGGGTATACCTTGGGTGGGAATCACTGTGTTGCAGGATTTGCATGTTTTCAACTTTATAAGACTTCTTTTACTTCATACAATATTTAAACTATTCTTTTTGACTTGGCCAATCCGATAAATCCCTTTCATGGACCACAGCCTTGTCGTGGCAAAGAGGCTTACATAACTCAGTGAAGCTATGAACCACATCGGCAAGGCCATCTAAGATAGATGGGTAACAGTGAAGAATTCTGACAAAATGTGGTCCATTGAAGGAGAAAATGGCAATCCCCTCCAGTATTCTTGCCATGAAAACCCCATGAACAGTATGAAAAAGGCAAAAAACTATGACACCAGAAGATAAGCCCTACAGATCAGAATCTGTCCAATGTGCTACTGGGGAAGAACAGAGGGAAACTACTAATAGCTCCAAAAAATGCTTTGACTGGGTCAAAGTAGAAACAATGCTCAGTTGTGGATGTGTCTGGTGAAAGTAAAGTTCGATGCCATATAAAACAATATTGCATAGGAACCTGGAATGCTAGGTCCATGAAGCAAGATAAATTGGACATGATCAAGCAGGAGTTGGCAAGTTTGAACATTGACATCTGAGGAATCAGTGAACAAAAGTGGACTGGAATGGGCAAATTTAATTGAGATGACCATTATATATACTACTGTGGGCAAGAATCCCTTAAAAGAAATGGAGTGGCCCTCATAGTCAACAAAAGAGTCTGAAATGCACTACTTGGGTGCAACCTCAAAAATAACAGAATGATCTCAATTAGTTTCCAAGGCAAACTGTTCGACATTACAGTAATCCAAGTCTATGTCCCAACCACTGATGCTGAAGATACTGATACTGACTGGTTTTGTGAAGACCTACAAGACCTTCTACAACTAACACCAAAAAAAAAAAAAAAAGATGTCCTTTTGATCATAGGGTATTGGAATGCAGAAGCAGGAAATCAAGAGATACCTATTTGGAGTAACAGGAAAGTTTGACCTTGGAATACAAAATAAAGCAGAGCTTAGGTTAACAGAGTTTGTCAAGAGAACACATGGGTCTTAGCAAACATGCTTTTCCAACAACCCAAGAGATGACTCTACAAATGAACATCACCAGATAGTCAACACTGAAATCAGGCTATGTTCTTTGCAGCTAAAGATGAAGAAACTATACAGTCAGTAAAAATAAGGCCTGAAGCAGACTGTCACTTAGATTGTAAGTTCCTTATTGCAAAATTCAGGCTTAAATGGAAAAAATTAGGGAAAAGCATTAAGCCATTCAGATACGATCTAAGTCAAATCCCTTATGATTATACAGTGGAGGTGATGAATAGATTCAAGGAATTAGATCTGGTAGACAGAATGTCTGAAAAACTATGGAAGAAAGTTAGAACATTGTACAGGCAATGGTGACCAAAACCATCCCAATAAGAAAGAAATGCAAGAAGGCAAAGTGATTGTCTGAAGAGGCTTTATGGATAGCTGAGGAAAGAAGAGAGCAAAAGACAAGAGAGAAAAGGAAAGATTATTCCCAACTGAATGCAGAGTTTTAGAATAGCGAGGAGAGATTATAAGGCCTTCTTAAATGAACAATGCAAAGAAATTGAGGAAAACAATAGATTGGGAAAGACTAGAGATCTTTTT